GTGAAAAACCTAAGAGATTAATCCCTGAAACCCTTGCGCAAAGAAGAACGTGTTCTTCAGTCCTAGCAGACGAGTTCCAACAGTTGGAATCCTTTCCGCCGTGTGGATACGTGTAGAGGGCAAGGTATTCTTCCTGCCTACAATGATCGGACGAACACATCAATTGATACAGGCAACCAATCCGAAACGGTGTTAAAATGTCCGTTAATTGATGACGTGGAAGGCCACGTGGCGGCTGACGTGAAAGGCCATGTGGAAAATTTTGTCACGTCAGCACGCCACGTCAGATTTAAAAAAAAATAAAAAAAATAAAAAAAATTCAAAAAAATTCAAAAAAAATTCAAAAATTCAAAAAAATTCAAAAAAATTAAAATCGAAAATAAAAAATTAAAATCGAAAATAAAAAAATAAAATAAAAAAAATAAAAATACATATATATACATATATATATACATAAAAATATATATAAATACATATACATATATACATGTATATATATATAAACATATGCAATACATATATATATATATATTGTATATATACATATATATACATACATATATATATATGTATGTATACATATAAAATATAAAAAAATACACGTACATACATATATCTATACGTGTATATGCATATATATATATTCATATCTATATACAAATACAAATATAAATAAATATACTCCTATGTATTAATATATCTATATATACATACAAAATAAAAAATATACACATATATATACATGCATCTATACAAATATATATATACATAAGTACAAATATATTTATATATACATAAATTTTTAATTTGATATACAAGTATATATTTATATATACATTAAAAAATTAAAAATACATATATATACATATATGTACATACAAATATATTTATATATACACAAATATATGTATGTATATATATTTGTATAGATATATGTATATATATGTGTATATTTGTTATTTTGTATGTATATATAGATATATTTATACATAAAGTGTGTATATATAAATATATTTGTATGTATATATTTGTATATATGTATTTTTTTACTTTTTTATGTTTTTTATTTTTTTTTTGAAAATCTGACGTGGCGTGCTGACGTGGTAAAATTTTTCACGTGGCCTTCCACGTCATCAATTAACGGACATTTTAACACCGTTTCGGATTGTGTAGTAAATTGCAGTAAAATTGGGTAATTCGTGTATAGATTTGGGATATTTGATAATATAGTATAGGTTTTTGTCAAATTAAAAATTCGTGTAGGAAAAGGTCACATTTTACTAAATTTGTGTAGGAAAATGTCATTTTCCCTATAATAAAATATTGTATAGAGATTATTAGATTATTTTCCAACGTCTCGTATTTTATAAAGTATTGAAGAGTTCCACGAGTCCCCATCACAGCTCCTCTACTTTAATTTGACTTTGTAACATACATACATACATACATAAATCTATTACATATACACAATTTTTTCTTGATTGCTCCCACCTAAACATGTTTCAAATAATAGTAATGTTAATCAATTAAATTTAGAGAATATCGCCGAGAAAAATCGTCTAAATAACTCTACATTTTTTTCCAAATAAACGAGTAAACTGTATAAATTTTTATCAAATAAATCATGAAGTTATTCTAATTAACTCATAAGACTTTATACTTTTAAGTTATTAACCAATAAATCTCATATCATAATGTTGTTGTCAGTGAAAACGAAAAAACTGATCTTGTTCAATCGAAAAAGTTGATTATTCGAAAAGAATACTGATATTATATCGAATTTGGTCATGTATTATTTGGTTGTAATGAATTCGATTATAATTTTATTAATCCAATTAATATAGTTATTTAATTAAGATTTATATTCATATTAGATTAAATGGACTAATGGATTTACTCATTTAACTCATAACTTTAACGGATTAAACATATAAAACTTATTTAATTAATATAACCTAATTATATAACCCAAATAAAATTATTATTGGGTTGGAGTAACCAATTTAACCCAATCCATTTGACATCTCTAAATTAGGTAGTGTTGTTATTCATCATTATGTGTCTTTGGTTGGTGATATTTTGAAAATCGAATTAAACTGATAAAATTTTAATATATTTTACATGGAAATAAATTAATGTTATGTGGATATAATTTTTTAAAAATAATTTGATTAAACAAATTTGAATATAAAAATAAAAATCAATTCTTTTTTAATTAATATAATCTGATCGATTCAAATATAACCAAAATAATATTTGATATAAAAATCAATAACATATATTTTTAAAATTTTGAATGAACAATCAAATCACAAGAAACGAATCGAAATTAACCACCAAATTATATGGACAAAGTTACATATAAAAATTTTATTCATTAACTAGATCGGATCCATGTTAAAAATCTCACCTTTTTTGATATACGATCTTCAAATCATATCATTAATCAAGGGACCCATTTGCATTTCATTTTTTTTTTCAATTTTATTTTGTTTATTGTTCAATCCGTCTATTCATTTAGATTTTTTCATCATATTTAATCTCTATATAATACTTTCATCTGCTATTTTGATACTTCTATTAATATCTTTCACAAGATTTTACATATTTATATTTATCTTTTTTTTTTTAACTGAGTTTGATTCTTATTTAAAATTTTCAAAGGAAAAACATTACAAGTATATGTCTGTTAAAATTAATATTTAAAAATTTTAAATATATACTCTTAGTCTTAGACTATGTTCAATAAATGAAAAGATCTTTTATAACAATACAAAGATTTCTATCTAGTTCGATAACTTTGGAGACATCTCAGGGCTGCAAACCAACAAGGCTAAATCCAGCCTTTATACCGGGGATGACTTTCATCTCTAGCATTGAGCACTCTGACCTACGAGTCTCCTCTAAGAAATTATCTACTAATGATTGTTTACCTTTAATTCAGAAAATCAGGAGCAGAATGGAGTCTTGGACTGCGGGAAGACTCCAACTCCCGAGCTCAGTCATCTCTGGCATCATTGGTTATTGGTGCAATGCGTTCGTCATACCGAAGAGGACTATCAAGCAGGTCAATTCCCTATGCTCTACTTTCTTGTGGAAAGAGAAAGCAGAACCATCTCGAGGAGCTAGAGTGGCATGGAAAATGGTCACGAGGCCAAAAAAGGAGGGCTGGGTTTCCGAAACTTGACTATCCGGAATGATATAGCAGCATTAACTGGATTGGAGCTTATCTTTCCGAACAGGGTCACTGTGGGTGGAGCTCGTGGCTCATTTTGGTCTATCACCAGCAAGCCAAACCAGTCATGTACATTTAGGAAACTGCTCAAGCTGAGAAATTGGGCATCTTCCTTTTTTCGGATTCATGTGGGCAACGGTCAACGAACCAAATTCTGGTTCGATCCTTGGACTCCATGGGTCCTCTGATCTCCTTTCTTGGCAGAGACGGACTGAAGATTTTCTATGTGTTTGTGTTTGAGAATGGAGAAAAGATAATAAAAATAAATAAACAAGAAGAAGAAGAAGAGCTTTCAAGAAGAAGAGAGTTGATTTCCAACTCTTTAACTTAATTATTTATTCATACTTTCTACACTAATATATACATAAGTTAGAGAGTAAATAAAACAATAAATAAGGAAATGTTGCTAGGAGAATAAGTCTCCCAACGGCTACACATCTTGGAGAGATATTGCAGCGTATATCCATAAACATTAATAAGGAAATAAAAGCCCATTGCATCGCATAGATTAGGGAATTGCTTTGATCTGATTTAGGATGATTATTCCTTTGATTCTCCTCTTCAAACGGTCACATATCTTTGCCATATTCTGAACTAGAGTTATCACATCATGTGCCAACTCATCCAAGACCATTTAAGATCTCAACCTAAGCCATACGAGCTTTCCTTGGTTGACAAGTAATATTCCAATTTGTCATACCGTTCAAGTCTCCATCTTGCATGTGTGTGAAGTTATTTGTCCAAACTTCTATGTCAACACGGACCTGCTCATATGGGGTCCCTCTTCAAGCCTCTATCTCTGAAGTCTGCCCAAATGGTACATGTCCTCACCGAGATCAAAGAACCCCCTACAATTGGTCGCTCACCTAGCCGAGACCACACTCACTAACAACGCCGATGTCGTTACCTGGCAGATAGCTGGAATCTCGAGGTCGGTGTTCTCAACCAAAGACGTTTGGCAATCGTTAAGGGGACAACCACAAGCTTTCTCTTGGGCTGGTCTATTATGGCACAAGCACCATGTACCGAAATATGCTTTCGCTTGCTGGTTGTTCAACTTGAATCGTAGCCTGACTAAGTAGCGTATGATTTCATGGGAACTCAATGTCGATCCACTTTGTATTCTCTGTCGGGAGCAGGAGGAGAGTAGAAATAATTTATTATATGAATGTGCACACTCATTTGACATTATAGTTGGGAAACTGATCCATATTCCACTGAACCCATCTTGGGATGACATCATGCAACTGTTAGGTGGTATTCGTGGACACAGGGTAAAAGCGTTGGACTGTCATTTTTATGAGAGAAACAATAGGCTTCATCGCAATCAATACCGACAGTTCTCGCAGGTGATCTGTGAAATCGACAGGGTATTCCGGTCGAAAATTGCCTGGCTCAGGCACTCTCTACAGGAATTTGCCGGAACGAGTCTCCAATTTTGGTTTGCTTCATTGGTTTGACTTGTTATCTGCTGTAAGTTGCTACGGTCTGATGGGTATGTACAGGTTGGTATTCAGGTCTGACGACTGAAAAGTTCAAGAAGCAATCTCTTTAAGCATCGTATTATATACATTATACATACAACCTTTATCCAACAAAAAAATACAAAGATTTAGACATCGTATTATGATCGGTCTCCTTTTTACTTTAACAAAGATTAGTTATTATTATATTTACCAAAAAATATTAATTATTATTTGAAAAAAAGGGAAAAGTCAAGATTTGAATGGACTATCAAATCAGGATCCAGCTGCATCCCGGTAATTATGCACGCACGTGTCCATGTCATGCATTTTTTTTTTTAAACAATTGCACATAAATTCCGTACCTAATTAAATCTTCAATTTTCAATTTGACAAATAAATATCCTAACTAATTTTACCACGTTAAACTTTTGTTATCTGACATAGCATCCTATATAGATCATAAATAGTATGCAACAGATAGCTACCACGTCATCATAAATAAAACGAAAGATTGTCAAATTGAAACCGAAAAGCTGAAAAGTTTATAATTGAACCAAAAATCTTAATCTAAATCGGTTTAAAAACATAAATCCAACATCCCTCTGTTTTTCTAGCAAGTCCAAACGTCCATACTCTAAAAAGAAATGATAACTAAAAAAAAAAGATTAGATTTTATTTCCTCTCCTAATAAAAAAATTCACAAATTAAAATTTCCATTTATCATAATCCAAAACATTGAAAAACCGCACTAACATAATTTATTTTGTTTGGTAAAATGGTTTCCATCAAATTGGTTCCATGGTCTAGTGGTCAGGACATTGGACTCTGAATCCAATAGCCCGAGTTCAAATCTCGGTGGGACCTTTCATTTTCCTCTTTTTGGGGATACAAGAAGAGATTCCATAGCACCTATTGTCATTTGGCCCCCTTTTTCTTTAATCGGTTTTAGCTTTAATCTATAATTGTCTTAATCGTACTTGCAGTATAAATAGACAATAGTTAATTTAATTTTTTTTTTTAAAAAAAAATCACTCAGATCTAACCCCAATCATAAAAGCTGCGTTTTCTTTCAAACAAGGCTGCGACATAGAAGAGTCCGTAAGACAATCTTACAAAACAAAAGAGCTCCTGGTTTCATACAGTCATTCAGAACAAGCAACTGAATCAGATAGGTCTATTATTCATCAGACCGCCGTTTTCCGAGTCGATCTTTCTCTAAACTGAACAGAAGAAGAAAAAAATCCTTGGACGTTGTTTTGTCTTCCGCTCACTTCTCTTCCTTGGCTTTATCTTCTTCTTTCATCTTCTTCTCCCATTTTCTCTTCTTGTAATCCAACAACATCTTGGGCATCTTCTCCATCAGCTTCACTGTGTTCTCTCGTTTCTCGGCCGCTATTCTGTCGCACTTGTGCCCTTTCCTTTTAGTCCTCATCTCCTTCCTCTCGGGATCAAACGTCCAATCTTCCCCTGCCAGCAATACTTCCTTCCTCAGCCTCGCCCTCCTCCGCGCGCTTATTCCCAGAGGCTTCCACGCCCCCATCTCCCAGTAACCCCACACGCCCTTTGTCAGCTCGCTTCTGTACTTCTCCAATTTGTCTCTCCATGGGTACTGAAAACCCGTCACGGTCTTTGCCACGTTTTGTGCGGCTCTCCCAGCCATCGGTGTCTGTAGAATATGCAACAAACGGATATAAACAGAACACAAAGTTAGTACTTGATAGATATCATTGCATTGTAATGGTATTGGTGGTCTTGAATCACTTCCCCTGCTATCCAACAACCAAGTTTTATCTTCTTAGTCTCACATGTTTGGAACAAGTCCTTATATTTCAAAGATCAGTAAAATAGATATAAGAATGAACACAACAGAAAATCGCAGTTATGTGATGATAATGACGTACAAATTCTCAAGCCACTATACAAAATCACCCTACCAAGAACAATAAGAAAACGAACAAGACTTGACAGATTCAGTGCAAAGGTAGTAAGTACCAGGCGTGGACATGGTTCGAATAGCCAAAAAAAATATTGTACCCGAAGACCACGGGTATCAAATTTTGATATCAGTACTCGTACCCGAGGGTCTCAGGTACTCGTACTATACCCGAAAAAATGTTCGGGTACCCACGGTACTTAAAACCCGAAAATTGCTTACATAAAAACATATTTTTGATCAATAATGCATAATGCAACCTGAATTCTCCAGAATCCATCCAAATCAATTTTAAAAGAGAAACTTAACACAACCTCAACCAATTCCAAATACGTCTTGAATACTAATACAACAATGTCAAAGAATTCATCACTAAAACAATTTTCAATGAATTGGCGAAAAACACGACCAACAAGAGTACTGCAACAACACGTCAATCTGCCGCTCCAAAAAGTGCCTATTTTGTATTGCATTTGTTAGACAACCTTAAAAACGCAACCCTTAATCAACTTCTTCTTCTTACTCAGATCTCTTCGTGATTTTGATAAAACGGTCAGAGAAGATCAAAGTGAACAAGTGAAAATGGTAAGCACAATAGACAACAACACAAATTAATCAAGCCCTCGCCATACCCCGTTGGTGCGCCCAAACCAAAACCCTAACCACAACTCAAAGAAACCTGAGAAATCGAAACTCTATCCATCGAAACCAACACCTCAAATGAAAAATCAAAATCAGAAACGCAAAACCAGAACTCTAACCCACCGATAATAGAGAACGAAAGAGACGAACCTGAGATGAGCGATGGATGGACGGCGAGGGAAGAGCGACTAGGACGGTGAATCTGAGTTTCCGCGAGCGAGAGAGGTGGTGAGGAGGAGTCCTCCAAGACAAGACCAAGACGGACCAAAACAAAAAAACTAGGTTAGGTTAACATAAAATGGCAAAATGGTAATTACACTAAATTTTTTTTAAAAGTTACACAGACATCCACACATTGCGATTCGACGAATTCGTGACTAGCGATAAGCTAAATCGCAAAACCATGTTAGAAAAATCCTGATTCAATTTGTCTAGAAACGAATTGACCGTCATAAAGTTCTACATCAGTTGCCGGGGATTTTATCACAAATAGAGGTGTCCATTTTTGTTATTAACCAAATAACCGAACCGAATTTAATCGAATAAGATATAACCTTAACCGAATCAAAACTGACATAAAAACCGAACGATTATGATTTCTCTAAACCCGAAGAACTGAAATCGAACCAAATCGAATCGATTAAAAAAATTAACCGAAAACACCGATAGTTTATTTGGAAAATAAGTTTTATATGACAAAAAAAAAAACAAAAAAAATAACAAACTAAGTCAACCCGAAGTTTATATAAAAACCGAATGGTTATAATTTTTCTATAACCGAATCTGAATATAACCGAACCGAAATACGAAATGACCACCCCTACCCCTAATCACAAACAGGCTCCTTTTCAACACGATAGCTAAACGGAACATTAGCCGGCTCACAATACCAAATTCACAAGAAGACGAATAAATTACGATATCTCATGTACATCGCCCGGTTTCTGAAAGTTTCGAAACATTCGCCCGAGTTTGCGTCACCATGTTCCAATTCCCGGATTTTTTGAGCTGGGAATCAATACAAAGTTACAAATCCGATTTCACTACAAAATTATAAATCCACACAGAGCATAAAGTTGGTCCATACAAAATCCACCATCAGCTTAACGAAGAGAGCGACACTGCGGAATAGATTCCATTAATTGTTCTACATCCAAAGTTAAAGCATACAGATACGAAGCACAAGAAATGATATCATACAAAATCTCAATTGGATGAATAACCCTTCTTCAGAATTGACGGCGGAAAATCTACAAATTCAAACAATTGGTCAGTTCAAAGTTCAAACGCATACAAACGGTCGGTTTCTTAGATCAAAGGTGGAAAATCTACCTTTTTTTTAAATTTCTCAAGGTCATCTATCATCGCCTTTACTGTGACCCGCGAATACAACTCCTCTTGTGAAATCACTTTTCAGATGGTGCAATGTTGTCTGTTTTAACTTTTTATTACCTGGTTCTTCGACACTATCTTCACGACATAGTTTTTTACATGTTTTCAAGTGTTTTAACATCGCACTCGTAGATATTCTCGACTGGTTAGTGCAACTAATTGATGTACCACAATAGTTGCAAACTGCCCTTTTACCATCCAAGTTTCTTTTGTAATGGTTCCAAGCGTCAGATTTTTGTTTAGGTACCTTACTTCCGGTAGCAGCAGCCTCGACCTTGGATCGCTTAGGCGTTTCCGCATTCACCGTAACATCCACCAAGGCTGCTTCAGATGGAATAGCCGTTTTCGGTTCCTCGGAATTATCAGCAGCAGATGGCATCTACAAAATAAACATACGACATTAGAAACCACAATGACAATAGACTAGTACATTTCTGATGGAGGATTACATAGATTTGTAAAGAAAATATTACATAGACTGGTACATTCCTGTTTGGAAAATGTTGAGGTCAAAAAATGCTCAAGTGAATGGATTTCTGTTTGAAGATTACTAATCCTTTCTCTGTTTAGACATTGTTGACAGACGAAATGGTGAACAAACAACCGAAAGTTTAGAGAGTATAAACCATGGTTCATTAAGAAAACCAGGGGGTAAAATAGTCTTTTGCACGAGTTCACGGTACCTGCGGGTAACCCATGCCTCTCGGCTCACACCCGAACCCAAGGTTCGGGTTACCAACACCGTAGTGCTCGGCAATCTCGTTGGATCTGTATCTCGAGTACCCACAGGTACCCGGGTTTCGGGTAAAAACGCCCATTCCTAACTTTAACCGGAGAGGAGCCAGAAATATTCCAAACCAACATGAATACCAACCCTAACCAGTTCACCGAACATCGTTCTTTAATCGTGTTATCCAGTGGAACAACGGTGTGTGTCCATGCAAACAATTCATTTTTTTTAAGTTATTACAAGGAAACACTTAAAATTCTAGAAACATCTAGAAGTTACAGCCTGAAAAAACCAACAAAAAATGGTTAAACCAAGGGTTAATAGAGCTCCATCATCCTCGGCCACAAAACTAGATGGGTGGAACTGTTTGCTGCAAATAAACAAGAGAACTGTCAAACAAGAAGTGAAAGTCACATTGTGAGTTGAGTGAGTGTGTTGAGTCACCTGAGGGGTTTGAGGTGAACCCTTAACCAAGAATGAGAGTAATTCTTGTTTCTGCTTATTGAAGTTGAACATGGAATGGTCTAAAAGAACTTGTTCCCTCTTTATGTCCTCTTGCAGCTTCTCCTTCTTCCACCTCAGCTCCTTCATCTGCTTCTCCAACTCACTGTAGCTTTCCACCGTGCTTGATGCTGGAGCTGCCTTCATGAATCTCACGTCCACCTCCCCCCTGGAAGAATCACCATTGCGGGAGAAATGGAGAGTGAAACAAGCTAAAGAAAACTATTCTCAACATGAGATAGTCTTAGGAGCTAACTGGCTAGCACTATACTAGAAGCTAACTATTGTGTTTGGCCCGAATATGTGATCACAAATCAAACATGTCACGACTTTGATGTGTATCAAAGTCAAACTCAAACAGAATAAGCTAGTCCATATCTGAGAAGGCGAAATGCAGAACAATAACATGGTATTGAATGAAACCGTCGAGTTTTTCTTTCTTTACCCGGTGCCAAGAGAAAAGACCCCTGTAGTTTTAATGATTCCTCCATCCAAGGAAATAGCGCCATCGCTTATGCATGGGAGTGCATTCATCATATCAGCTCTTGTTTTGTACACTTGAAGGCGAGAGAAGAGACTATAAAACAAAGTCTCGCGAAGGCCGTAACCATGTGAAGTCACACAGAGTAAGTCCTCTGCATCAATGTGTATCATATTCACTGCAAACCCAATAAACCCAGGAGGGCATTCCCCATTCGGCAATCTTGGTTTCAGAAGATCAAGCCTCCTTTGTGGGTCATCAGCTACATACTGGCCAACGTAAGGTCTAATGTAAAAAAAAAATGAAAAAGATCATATTAGGAGGATAGTACGCAGAGAAAGATATCCAAAATCACAAAACATAAGTAGGAGAAAGGGTCCTTAAATAATTTACAGGGAA